TGTGTGTGTGTGTGTGTGTGTGTGTGTGTGTGTGTGTGTGTGTGTGTGTGTGTGTGTGTGTGTGTGTGTGTGTGTGTGTGTGGCTCACAGAGGTTCTCATTGGAAAGTAGCCAGCTGACAGCATTTGGCAGCGCCTGTTGAGTCTTTGTGTGAAAACTTTCCTCAGCCAGAGAACCAAACACACTGTGTAATTGTTGTTCGTGTCAGACACAATACACTACAACGTGCAGTTATTGCAGCCAGATGAAGATGGATCTCCATGTTTGAGTCATTTCGGGAAACAAAGCATTTTGGGTTTTGCTTTTTTCTTCATTTGCTCCTCTGGTGCCTAATTAGAGAGTTAGATTAAAGCAGCCAGCATGACTCAAGAGCAGCCATTTCATCCCTGGTTCTTTTGATGGGGGGATCCACTACTTTAATTACTGCTCTTCATTCATTCATGTTTCAATTAAATTGCTCTTTAGTCACATGATGGGGATTATCCGCTACTCGTGGTCATGGTTGGTTGTTTGAAGATCACACAGCTTCTGAAGCGCTGATCACACAGACACACAGAGTAACAAAACACTTTCCCTCGTCGGTTTCATCACAACTTCAACACAACATCTTTGACAAAACCAGGCTGCTGCATCTGAATATTTTATCTTATTTTTCTGCTATTTATCAAGGTGTATATTCATTTAAATCCTGGGCCAGTAAGTAAGTGTAGAAAGACAAGAGGGAACTGATTGTATTTTTTTGGAATAATGAAGTAACTGACTCTGAACTTTGGATTGCTTTTCTGGATCCATATGTTCATCTGCTGTTGTGTATGCAACATCAAATTCTGCAAGGAAACAGATGTAGTTAGTCTATATAGTACACATGGTCAACACTGAGGAAACCTAAGAGAATGATTGCTCGTTGGCAGTATTTCTGCTAATGAAAACCAGTTCTTCTGGCCAGAAGGAAGATGCTCAGTGGAAACAGTAGATGAGCCTGAAGCCAGGAGTGATACATTACTGCCTAACCTTGAGGGGCTGCTCGGCTGACAGTGGGATCAGAACAGTGCAATCAATGCCACATGCGGCAACGAGCAAAAGCATGCAGAGTGGGAATCCATCACATCTTCGTGACAAGACGGTCTTAAAGTTCTGTTTCTGTTAAGAAATGTCTTGATATGGGGTAACTGCATGTGAATGTACACATGTGCACTGAAACAGAAAAAGTGAAGGACTATTAAAGCCATGTGTTTGGGGCAGTGCCATGCAGCCGTGGGTGCCAGGAAGGAGAGATGGCAGGGTGATTTTGCAAGCCTGCACATTGGCTGGGGGTTTCAATCAGGGGAGAGAAGTGACAAAGAATTAAAGCTCGAGCAGTAGAGAAGTGTGGGGGGAGGACGGCTTGGCAAACTGTGGTCATGGGGATGTGGAAATAAAGTTTTACATCCCCAGCTGTTTTATTGTACCATTTACTGGAGAGCAGGTGCGGGGCGATTCAAATCTCCAATCACATCAGAATGACTTGCACAGCCGGAGTGAGTGACAACGACAAATAAGGAGCTGAAGCAGGGCAGTAGCAAAGTGAGATGAGGAGTTAGTGCAAGAGTTTAATCCACCAAACGTGTCTGTTGTTCAGCTAAAAGTTTGATTCTTTGTCTGGCTTCTTAGCTACAAAGTAGGGATGCGTGTCATTAAATATTCTCCCTCAATTTCATACACAAGTGCATGTGTAGCCACTCACACACAAATCAGTGAAGCACGGAGAGAGAAGGCCCTCCCTCTCACGCAACAAGCCGGGATTGTGTCAGTGCATCGGGCGTCCTGCCAAAGGGAGGGGAGAGAGAAAAAGTTTAGGTGGGGGAGGGCCCACAGGTGCCGAGACTTAAGCATGGGGGAGGAGTGGAAGGAGGAGGAGAGGCAAGTGGATGCAGAGGAGGCAAGAGAGGGAGGGAGTACGCCAGTAGCTCCCCTCCATACTCTGGTTTGTTATTCTCCTGTGAGGATGGGCAAATGAGAGCCAGCACATTTTTATGACTCTAAAACAGCAAATGTCCTGTAACAGGACGAGGAGTCCAACAGCACGCCAAGGCCTGTGACACAAAAGGCTAAAAGGGGGTTGCGTGACAACCAAATGTGTCAACAACAGCTTCTGAAGTGTGAAGCTGCAGGATTTCCATGAGCTTGAGAGAATATAAGAAACCAGGAAAACTCCCAACATAAAAATGCGTGTTTCCAAATTGATGTGAAGATCATTTTTACTTCAACTAGTGAACTGTCTTTCTCTTGCTAATCTGTCCCCCACTCAAACACACACACATGGGCACACATTAAATTAGTTCCTTTTTTAGAAAGAAAGAAAGAGGAGGGGGTAAAACATGCTGGTAGATTATATTTGCTCAGCAGAATTTAATATGAGCGAGCTGGAGGTGCTTTTCTTCTGAGGCCAACTCCCTGGAGACACATCCATCTCTGGGAGATGGTAGGGAGGACAAAGGAGGACTGGCCCCAAGGCTCAGCCCAGGCGAGCTTAAACACACACACACACACACACACACACACACCC